TCCATGTTACATCTGCAATTGGAAGGACCTGGTAAATTTTCATCATCATTTTCTGACTGATCATCACTTCATCTTTTATATTTCCATAAGCAGGAGGGAAGGGGGCTAAATGAGTATTTCCTTCTTCTTCACTTTCATCCTCAGAGACCACTGATTCTGGATCTGAAGGTAATTCTTCAAGTAACGCTAATGCATCAGCCCTTTGCGAGGCATTTTGAATCTCAACAGTAGAAAATAAAATATTGGCAAAATATTTTAAATTTAATTAAATTTTTGCGCAATTTCTATTTTTAATTATTCAAAAATATTTGCAATTTTTGGAACCACACAAAATAATTTAGAAAATCACAGTACTAGCACATAGAGAGCAAGCATGTTGAAAGCAGAGAAAAATTCTGGAACGAAAAATATTTTATGGGGCAGGTGCATGTATTATTTGGTAATACAATAACTCTGTAGATTTCAAAACCCTTATCTATATCCGGGTGAAAATAAACATTCCTACTTGAAAAGCACCAAACGCCATTATGAAGAGCAGTAGTTTCAAGGGTGCGACCATTGAGCCTCTAGAGGATTGTGAGCATTGTAACGCAATGCTCTAGTGGGGGCAGTGGTCGCGCCCTGAAACCACAAAGGAAATACCATAAATATACACAGGTTGTTTTATTGCAGTTTTTAATTATGCCTGTTTATTTTTGTTTATGATGATTGAGTTGTGATAAAAAAAATTTTAAAATTTTAAGTTATTAATATAAATAAAAGGAAGTTATTTTGTCTCATGAAACTGAATGAATTTTTAATTTAAAAGGCATCCGATTTAAAAATAATAAGACCTAAAAAATGTATAGTTTGCAGTAATTTGCGTTATTTAGAGGTTAAAAGATAAGTAATCATCGGTTTTCACTCAACAGTTTTTTAAACAAGAGCGGAAAAAATTTCGAAAATTGGTGGTTTCAGGGCGCGACCACCACCCCTCAAAGGGTTAATCTCTACACAATATAGATGTATAATATATGGTCATACAAGAAATGATTGACACAACGGCTCTCGCAACTATTACACTATGCGAAGGGAAAACAAGTGAAATAGATTCAAGGAGATGTGAGCTACTCAGAATGCATAGATGGAACTGGCCATAAGTGAATGGTATACATCAGCACCTGTCCCTTTCGCTGTCATCATTGAGAGCATAGACTGCTGTCCATGCTCTTAATGAAGGAATAATGGAAGGTGATTATCATGGTCTCTCTCACTTATGCTCTCAATCTCATGCTCCCAATGATGGAATCACGCTCTCAATCACACGCTCTCAATGATGGAAGGTGATTATCATGGTCAGTGTGGTTCCTGTGGAAGGAAGGGATACAGGGTAGTGAGATCCATTGTCGTATGGTGTTGGTGTGCAGGAACAAAGCACCCTAAAGGCGTACCGTATCCCATTGGTTGGCCAAGTTCAGCAGTGGAGTGGAGACCCCAGCCAAAGGTGTCAATGCAAGACGACCAACAACATCATATACAGCAGCAAATGTGGCAACCGTGTCGTATTTGATCATGGCAAACAGCCACATAACATTCAACAAAATGCAGCAAGAGACAGGGCTTGAGCAAGGAAAATTTCAGGCCATTGTGCATAATGATTTAGAGATGAAAAATGTGTGGCCAAAGTGGGTGAACCTCATACCTCGAACCAAAACTTTGGACTATGTCTTGCTTGACAACATGAAGGATGCAGTGAGGGGCCAACAGGTTGAATCTTCTGCAGAATTGCTTGCAATTGTCCATAGGTAGTGCACCAGCACCCCACAGACTGGTTTAGCAAAGCCCTTCGGGACCTCCCAGCCAGATGGCAGAAGTGTATTGACATTGGTGGGGATTATTTCTATCTGATGTACTATCAGTTTTTTTGTTAATAAATTGTATTCCGCTCTGTGGCAGCATTTCTGTATGACCTAAATATTTTATAATTATAATCACTGTTTAAAAAGGCCTGTAGCAAAAGTAACAAAATATTCTGGTTATACAAAAAAAAAAAAAAAAAAAAAAAAAAAAATGTGTTTTTTTTTTTATGCTATCTATAAATAATCTGAAATTACGGGTTTTAAGCTTTTCCCATTTTCTTCATGGCCTGAAATTCACAACAGGACCTGTAGAATTTTGATAGTAGTGAGTTTAGTAATTATAAAAACTATAAAAAAAAACCTTCAAAATTTCACCATCTCTCAAAACTTTGAGTGTGATGCACAAAGGGAAGATATAATTTGATTTAATTTTTTTTTTTTTTTTTTTTTTTTTTTTTTTTTTTAAATTGCACTCAGGCAACACTTTTCTGGAGTGTAGTGATTAAAAGAAAAAAAAGTTTTTCTTGGCCCACCCTTATGTATGCATATATATGTTAGTGTAAAAGTTTGAAGGCTAATATAGCTTAAAATTTTCTGGTGTAATCTCATTTTTAGCAGTATTAGAAGGTAAATCTGATATATATTTCTAAACTCCAAAGTTTTTCCAGACTTAGTTGTTAAAATTTATTGACATGAGTTAGTAAAAGCGAGTTCAAACAGGATCTGAATTCTGAATTTTAAATGTAAATTTTTTATCCATTGTAATTTTAGTACTTGCAGCTTTTATTTTCTATGCTTTTGGTTCATCAATATGGGGAGCCCACCAGCGGCCGAGCGGTAAAGACGCCTGAACACTGGTAGTTCGGTCTGAGGTTCGAATCCCGCGAACTGGCTGGCTGCATGGGCGTTTTCGTGGTTTTCCCCATGTGTAACGTGTATACGAGCCAGTTTCCCTTAGAAAGTCCTCCACGAAAGGCATCCCTCCCTTTAGGCAGATAGCCCTCGTGTGCTTTGCCATAATTAAATACACACACACACACACACACATCAATATGGGTAACTTCATATTTAAGATTTAACCTCCTTGTTGGTATGTTGAGAAGGAGCTAGTTACCATAACCTTGTGACTGAATTTAAATCCTCACTAAGCATGGACGTTTGTAAGCATACTGTGTGTTTGCATCATGGAGGCATTTAAAGTACCATCAAACTGAAACTCCTATTGAAAAATTGGTGGTAGTGGATCAAGATTAGATCTGTCCATCTCATAAAATGTTCTCCTTAAGAATTGGAATGGGGATTCCCCTTGTCTCATAGGTATAAAATTGGTTGCCATTGTTGCGTACCCTGAGCACATTCTTGGCGATGAGGTAGTTAAATGACCAATGGATTGGATATGATTTCCTTTGAATGCTTAGCTAACAAGTGTCCAGTCATTAGGGGGGAAAATTTAAGTGAAGAACTTTCTATTATGGAAACCGTGAAGATGATTGTTTTGAATTGTTCTTTTATATAAATAACTGTTCTTTCATTATTCTTATCACTTTTGATAAAGGACATCTTCATGGGTCCAAAAGCTCAAACCTGCCATACTCTGACCAGTATCACATATGATTCGATAAAGAATTCTTCTCTTCCAGGTCGCCAACATGGGGAATATATTTTTACCATTAACACTAAGAACACTAAATAGTATAAACTTCAAATACTATAAACAGATTAAAGCTCACTCAGAGTATTTTTATTTTTATTAACTGAAGGTTTTTATTAATTCATTTATGAATTAATGTATCATTTTAAGTATGCTATTGCTGATCTTTATGGACAAAAAGATGATGTACAGTAAAACACTAAAAAGTAAATATAAGTTTCAACAGTTGATTGTTAAGTCCAAAGTATAGATATTTTGAGTTTTTATCATTATATATAGGTAAATATTGATAAATTCGTTAAATTTATGTATTTTTAATTTTCACATATTTACAACATTTCAACTTATATAAGCATATAAAGTGTTTGGAAGGGGAGGAGATATTAAAAAGTATATGTAATAAGTCTTATCTATATTTTTACAGGGTATATATGCTTGTTTAGAGAGGTAAAAGCAAACTATAATACATTTAATTTATGATCTATATGTTTTTAGCATTTACTTCTTCATTTTTAGCTAGTACTTATTTTTTAGATCAAGACAGGATTTGATTCAAAATAAAAAATTTAAAAATGAAATCATTTTTTGTGAGGTCTTGTCTGCTGTATCTTTGTATAGACCATAGTTCTGCTGTATCTTTGTATAGACCAGATAGCCCCTCCTTTCTCTATGGGGAAAAAAACATTGTCTCATATTTTTTACAAATGCTAAATATATTAAGACAGTTCAGCAGCTGGTTTGTGAGGCCAGTGGATACAGGGCAGGAGATAAAACAACCAGTATCTAGTAGGATTATCCACTCAAATGCTAGTGAGAAGTAAGATATTATACAGTACAAAGTCCGATATCCAGGTGATCTAATATTCAAGGCATTAATTACAGTACTTGAGAATTTCTTTTTAATCTAATGATTTTCTGAAATGTGTGAAACAAATTAAATTGAAAAGGTCAGTCTAATAAATGCACAACTGATTGAAATTGTGGTCAGTGAGTTTAGCAGGATAATGGTAATAACAGCAACAAATACAAAATTGGTAAATTTAAAGTTGTTCTTAAAAAAGGATTAAAGTATTCATATTTATATTCTTTTCTTTAAAAATAACTATGACAAAAGCAAGTCACATTTGAGACACTTTGCTTGGACTTCAGCATTAGAACTTCATTATGGAGTGTGTAATATTCCGTTGTATTAAAAAAGAAATTAACTTTCATGGCTAGTATTTAAAAATAAAATTTTTAAATAAAAAAGCATTTTTTTAGCATTTTGTGTTTTAGCTATATACTCATTTCAGGCATCATCAGCACATTATTGGAATCAAAACGGCATGCCAAAATCTAAAATCATGATTGGAATACCTACTTATGCACATACTTACATACTCTTAGATCCTAAATACCATGGATTGGATGCTCCTGCCACTGGTTCTAATGGGGATTTAAATTTCTATGATGTAAGTTTTTTTTTTCCTTTATGGTATTTAATTCTAATTTCATTGATGAAATTTAAAAAACTATTTTTTTCACAGTTTTTATCATTTTTTTTAAAATTTATTTTGCTCTTATTGATTTTATTGACCGATATTTTAATTCAGTTCTTCTGTATGTACACAATTTATTCATAAAGCCTCAGGGTTTTATGTCCTAAATTTAAAATAATTAAATTACATAGTAACCAACATACTGATTAACAAGCAGCCATTGTTTATTTTTAAAAAGTATTTTGATCTTTTTAGCATTTTAATCTGTCATTCAGTTTATGGATATTAATTAAAATTATTTTTACAATATTTTACTCAGCTGTATCTATAATTTCATAGTTTTGCAAATATCCTGTTGTTCGGGTGTTGCCATTTGGAACAACATAAGATTTTTTTCATTCAAATTTAATCAATGTGAATTTTTTAAAGTAGAAAAAAAAAGTGAAAGCAAGGTATCTGTGTGATTATATTTTATGTATTATATCTAACTGATCATTGTTATGAAAATTTGCAGCATAACTGTGATTAATAAATGTTGTAAATGCCATATGTTGTAGGTAGAAAAAAATTTTTTGCGCTTATTATTTTAGTTTGCTAATAGTATTTTGTGTAAATCATAATAGTTTTATAGATGAATGAAAATTTATGTGTTCTCATATAACTTAGATATTGCAGACATATAGTGTGTTTAATCAGTACTTTCTCAGAGAATTGATAAATATCAATCTATATTTTAGAGGTACTTATTCTGAAAAAAAGCTGAATACATAATGCATTTGTAAAATTTTAGAACAGATTCCATCAAACCTGCTAAATAGTAATTGACAGCATTCAATACTATGACATTTAAACTTGCTTTTCATAAAATATTTATTTACATACAGAATTTTCTCTGTAGTTAATCATTTGCTTTCATGAAGTGAACATTTGCTGTCTCGAATTTAAAAACAGAGGAAAGAATAATTGTATAAAATTGTGCTTTTTTTCATTATTACTTATCTATTTCTAATGGCACATTACAAGAAAACTGAACATTAAATAAAATACCTATAAACTCAGGCCATTCCTTATCAGCCAGTAATACTCCCAGATCAATATACGAAGATGGGCAGGGCATTTTCAGAGATGTTGCAAGTTCATATTTTCCTTAAGATTGCATAAGGGGTAAACAAAGTGAGGAACGACACTGATTCATTGAAGGTGCTTACAAAGGCAGTCATGGGCAGATTTCTTTATTGGCCATTTGAATACTTCAAGAATCTGTCTAAGCCATGATTTATTTTTATTTCTGTCTGCAAGTTCTTGGAATAGGGCTTTCCTAACAACTGAATTAAATTTGTGCTGTAGAGACATTAAGATTTTTTTGGCGGCCAGACAGATGAAAAATTAGCAACGCCTTTGCCGGGAATCGAACCACAGACCTCTGGAATACCAGCCCAGTGTGCAGAACCACTACACCACGAAGGCATGCTAGGAAGGTGGGAGAAATATCTTATATACTCCCTCTTCTAAAGAGCTACTGGAGTGTTTAGGCTACCCAATCACCAAATCCTGGGTATGGAGAATCCTTATCCAACACCTTTTTAGTTCGGGCGCCACTGTAAAGACATTAGGGTTTTTTTTTTTTTTTTTTTTTTTTTTTTGAAGCAGGCAAGCAGGCAAAATGAAAAATGAGCAATTGCCTTTGCGGGGAATCGAACCACGAACCTCTGAAATACCGGTCCAGCATGCAGAACCACTACACCACGAAGGCACGCTAGGAAGGCGGGAGAAATACCTTATACAGTCAAAAGTCTTAATTCGAAACCATAATCCGGACTCAAAAAAAAACGTTCTGCGCATTGCCCGTTTGACACATGCGCATAGGCGTTTACGTGTGCGCGTAAGACTTTAACTGTGCATATGCCTGTGCGCAAGTGCAGAATCGTTTCGCGGCAGTTTTATGTATAACGGACGGAAAGCTAAAATTATCTAATTATCATTTCAGTTAATGTTGATGATTGCGTTGTTCCTTAATCTTCAAATTGGATCCGGCTTATTATTTTTTGTCCCTAGAAAATATGTAGTTAACTAATTACTTAAATCACTTGATTACGCCCTTTAAAGTATTTTGTGTTGGACATGGTTCAGTGGGTGACAAAAATATGGAAACACCTTTAAAAAAACATGTTTCTTTGCTTAATATGGTGTAGGAAACCCGTTGGCATCCAAAACAGCTTGCAGTCTTCTCGGAATGGATAATAAATACAGTTCCTGTATGTTTGCCAAGGGAATATTATACCATTCTTCCTGCAAAACGGTGGCAAGTTCAGATAACGATGTTGGCGGTGGATAACGAGAACGCACTTTCCGTTCCAATGTAGACCACAAAGGTTCGATAATATTCAGGTCTGGTGACTGTGGTGGCCAGGGGAGATGGGACAACTCATCCTCGTGCTCAGAAAACCAGTCCTGGACAATGTGAGCTGTGTGAACAGGGGCTTTGTCGTCTTGGAAGACACCATCACCATCGGGGAACAAAGTTTGTACCATGGGATGAACTTGATCGGCCAAAATGTTCACATAAGTCTTGGCAGTCATGTGCCCTGACACAGTTATCATGGGGCTAGCAGAGAACCACGATATGGCTGCCCAAACCATAACAGAACCCCCGCCATGTTTCACTCTTGGCAACAAGCAGTCTGTATTATAGGCTTGAGATGGCGTTCTCCAGACGTAAACTCGGCCAGAAGTGGGAAACAATGTGAAAGAAGACTCGTCAGACCATATTACTCGCTTCCACTGCTCTATAGTCCAGGCTTTATGACTTAAACACCACCTTTTCCTGTTACGGGCATTAGCATCACTGATGAGTGGCTTCTCAATTGCAGCACGGCCAGCAATTCCCTGTTTATGAAGCTCCCTTCTAATTGTTTTGGTACTCACAGGGTTCGGTAACACAACATTCATTTCAGCAGTAACTTTTGCAGCTGTGGTCTTCTTATTTTTCGTCACAATTGCCCTTAATGATCGTCTGTCACGATCACTCAGGACACACTTTCGTCCGCGCTGTGATTTAGCAGATGATGTTTTTCCGCTTTTCAAATATGCGGAATAAATCTTCGATACAGTACCTCTTGAAACACTAAACACCTCGGCTACCTTGCTTACGGAAGCACCTACCATACGTGCTCCAACAATTTGCCCACGTTCGAAGTCTGTTAACTCTGACATAATGCAATGACAACCTCACATAACAGTACTCCGACAACAACTGAACTGTTTAGCACATTTACGAAGTTGTATAGGTGGCGTCAGTAGTCAAAAACGCCAGCGCCACCTACATATTTCATTAAAATCAATCTTTCTTTTCAAACATGCATTTCACAAGGTGTTTCCATATTTTTGCCTCCACTGTCTGTTAAGATTAAAGGAAGAAACTAAACGAGCACAACAAGCTTATTATAAAGTAAAAATATTTTTTTTTTTTTTTTTTTATCCTAATCTATTGTTCTATTCATAATTACGTTCAATTTTATTTAGATTTCTGCTCCATCTTAGAGATTAAATGTATATATAATCCGGAAAAATCGATAATCCGGAATCGCCGAAGTCCCGACGAGTCTGGATTAACGACTTTTGACTGTAGTGCTATAAGAAAAAGGAAAAATTCCTTGTTTTTATCAAATAAATTGTAACTGAAAATAAAATTTAATGCTCTGCCTGTGGTAGTCATCTGCTAGTATTTGAGAAGGTTTACCATATTTAAAAAAAAACTTCAGTTTCAGAAATTATGAATAAATGTGTTGGTGATCTTTTTAATTGAAAGGAGATAATTTTCAAGGAGCTGATTCCTGAAGAACAGATGTTAAATTACATATTTAATAAAGATGTAATAGACAGACTTCTGAAGAGAATTTAGCATGTTAGCCCTAAAAAAAGCATAACTGAGTAACTCTGCTACATGGAAATCAATTGTCATAAAATCCCATTCTCATCAAGCAGTTTCTAGGCAGAGAAAAATATCACAATTCCCAGAGACCTCCTTATTCACCAAATTTCACACCTGCAGATTATTTCATGTTCCCTAAAGATTAAATATGTTATTATAAATTTAATAACATTGAAGGTTCAGGTGCGGGGCAAGTTCAACAGGCTCCTAGGCTGGGAAAGCCACATCCTGTGTGTAGCGACGTGGGGAAATGCGTAACTTTCCTGCCATAGAATAGTTCTTAACTGAGAAAGAAATTTCTCATGACAAACGAGGAATGAGCCTTACGCATATACAAATCGTAGAGCCAGTCATTTCAAAAGCTGGAGATGTCATCAAGCAGTAATGTGAAAGCAATAATGTTGGAAAATGCATATCTCAGATGTCACATGCTACTCTCACGGCTTCAGGTGCTGAAATGGAGGAAGGATGGTGTGAAAAGAAGGTCTTCGAGGAGCTGGGAAGAGTTACTGGGTCAGGTGGTTCAATGGTCTATCTGGAAAGAGAGTGCGAAGTCTTGTTGCTCAGGCATTGGTCAGGGGGTGGGCTTAAGCATAAATCGTACTTTTCGAATTTTCTAAATTACAGACCAGATACAAATGGTAAAATATTAAACATAATACGTGAAATAATAAAAGGATCAGGTACCGAGATAATTTTGATTGGCCTAAACATCTGTTTTAGGGAATTTAAGGATAAAAATTTATACATTTGAAATATATGGTAGAGAAAATAAAGTAGATAGTACATGGCGTTAAATGTAGATGACGACACTGTGTGCATTAAAAAACATCAGAAATGTATTAGAAAATTAATGAAAATCATGGGAAATTGACTCCCAAATAAAATTACAGCATGGTAAAGTTAAATTAAGTGCCGGAGTACTGCTCCGGGTCTTTTACTGTTTTCATCGTCAGTGTAGTCATAGTTCAGTCTAGGTGTGGAACTGTTGTTAACTTTTTTAATGTTATTAAAAAAAATTTTTGCAATGCAAATGCTGATTCTTTCTATATTTAATTCATTATGAATGGCTTCATTCCTGAAATACCAGCGACTATTGGAAATTCTTCTTAAGGTGATATTTTGGCTTTAATAACATTGAAGAGATTCAGAAAACTCTAACCCCGCCCAAAAAAACCTGTCTCTAAAACTGACTTAAGCTTTATTACAAAAGATGAGTCCTGTGTAGGAATCAGGCAGCTGATAAATCTGCTGGGCATTGTATAGATGTACAAAATTATATATTAAATGTTAATATGTAAGAATGGTGTTTTCTTTATTTTTTCAGTTTTGTGCAAACTTTATAAATACATTGGCTATCTTTATTCTGTAAATTAACTGTATTAAGGGATAAGATCACATTTAAAGAATTCTTTTCTTTTCTAACATAATTACTTCTGTCTAAAGTATAAATATATTTTTAACAGAATTACTTTGCATTTTATAGGTGTGTAAGTTTTTATCATCTGGAGGCATAAGAGTATTTGATAATGAAAGTCTAGTACCATATACATATTCAGGTTATGATTGGATTTCATATGAAGATCAGATTAGTATTAAATTAAAAGTATGAATTTTTCATCACTTTTCTTGTTTACTTTAGCTGAGGATAATTTATTCTTTGAGATTTTATAAATCTTGTATGTGAAATTTTTTTTTCATCCTAAAGTTTTCCTGTTATGGAAAAAGTATACGTCTATTATTGTTGCAAAATTAACAATTCTAATTATTACTGCAGCTTAATCATAATGAAATTTGAAATCTGATATGTAATAATTATTTTAAAATTTGCTTGTGGATGTAATTTTACTTTTGTTTTGAATAGTGTGTTTATGACTTAAGTTTTATGGAAAAAGTATTACAGTTTTTACTATATTTAATGCTAAAGAGACTAGATTTTTTTTAACAGAAAAACAATCTTATTTAGGCGTAGATTTTTTAAATTGTTTTGAGAATAATCAGACATTATCTCTGTATTTCAGAAGGAGGAAAGAAAATTTCAGCAGTCAGAGAAGCAAAACTCTATGGAAAGAAATTAGTACAATAAATTAAAAATAAATTTAATGTGATCTGTCAAAGAAAATAATAATGAAACGTGAAAAAACTAAGATATTAGAATTTTGAAAGCATGGAAAAATTAAGGTTATTAACTATAAAGAAGAAAATTTTTTGGTAATTTAGAAGGGTTGAAAGAAATCCAGTTTATGGACTGAAAAAACTGTATGGATAATTTTTGTAGATTGAAAGTCAAAATTGTGATTTATAAGAAATTTCTTTATTTCTCCTTTTAAACTTACCATTCATGTTCCCTCATGAGGAATTTCAAAGCTTTTACAGTTTGGCCAATATATGTGACCCAAATATTCGTGATAGGCTAAAATTCTACAAAAATTTAAATAAAACATGAGATATTTGCGAATTGAACAAATTTTAGTCATAACTGAGGAAATGACTTTAAAATTCAATTTATGGAAAGTCCTAGCAATTTTGTAACTGATAGGAAGATTAAACAGTATTATGCAATACTTTTGTGATTATTTGTAACTGTGAAATATGTTTTGATGACAAGAGGTACTTCGTAGTTGCCTACTAAATACTCCTATGCAGTACACAGTTTTTTCCCCCCTTTTTTTGGTTGTGATTTTTTTTTTTTTTTTTTTTAATATAAATGTACACTGCTGACCATTAAAATTGCAACACCAGGAAGGAATGATCTGAAGAACATCAAAATTACATGAAAGGAAAAAGAAGTTGGGATATGCAAATTATTACTATTTCAGCGCATTTAGATGACGCAGGAGGGAGAAACATCTGAAGCACTGCATGAAAAAAAAAAGCTGTGTAGTGGATTTCTCATTTGGAAAGTGCTTTGTAAGGTTGGAGTTTACTCAGAATATCATGTTCAGCCTTGAATAAGAAGAGGAAATGCTCACCAGGAAGTTTTAAAATTTGACACAGGTGGGATCATTGCCTATCGGAACCGTAGATAATTGTTTCATGATACCCCCAGTCGCACTGGTCGACATCCAACCACTGTCATGTGATTACGGAATCAATGGATTACAGAGGGTCATACTGAATGACATGCAGGATCTCAATGCCTTCCCATTACTAACATCAGAGAGGACAGATATATTGTGAGGTCAACCCTGCAAAACTGTACTACCACGTCCAGGGTCATTAATCAGGAAATGAGTGTGTTTGCAGCACACCCTGTATCAGCTTGTAAGGTGTATCGATGGTTGCAGCAGGGTTACTTCAGCTTCCCTTGACAATTCAGCATAGAGAGAGACAGTGACTCTGGTGCGTCAAATAACAAAGCTGAGTACAGAAGTGGTGCAATGTCACCTTTTCCAATGAGTCCCAGTTCTATGTGTAGTATTCTGATTGTTATATACATGTCTGGTGTGTCTGAGGAGGAGACCACACATCGCCTGCTTGCATTCGATATCGGCATAAGAGCCCTGCACCTGGTGTGATGGTTTCAGCAGCCATTAAGTACATGGCACACACATCTCTAAATTCAGATCGACGGTAATTTGAATGCAGATGGGTACATTTCTGAACATCTTACATCCAGTGGTTGTGCCCTGTCTTCAAGGCCTGACACCATCTTCCAACAAGATAATGCAAACACCATCTTCCAACGAGATAATGCAAGACCACGTTGCATGTCGTGTTCTGACCTTCCTCGATACACAGGGTATTCGACTGCTGGCTTGGCCTGGCCTGCTAGGTCTCCAGATCTGTCGCCCATAGAAAACATCTGGCCATTGGTTGCTGAGAGACTGGTCTGGCACCCCTTTCCAGCTAAATCAGTCGATGAAGTGTGGCATAGACTTGAAACAGTATGAAATGAGTTGCTCCTTTCTGTCATCCAAACCTAGTTTGACTCCATGCCTAATGGGGTAACAGTCGTTTTAGCTGCCAGGGTGGCAGTTGTTTCTATTAATTTCGCACCCTTGTAAACCCCCAAAATGCTTACAAATTTAATCATTTTGTCTTCGTGCCTTACTGTTTACATGCAATAAATATCTTTTTTGTATTTGCTTTCCTTCATGGTGTTGCAATTTTAATGACCAGCAGTGTATATGAAAACATGTTTTACAAAATGTAACTTATTTTATGCTAAAAATTTTTAATAATGTATGCAAGTTAAGAATTAAAACGAATGTAATGTATATCAAAATTAAGCATTTAAACAGATAAATATTGATCTCTTCAAAATAAAAAAATCATGTATCTGTTCAGAGCTGCATAAATACATAATTTTTTAAATCAAGCTTGATTTTAGAATAAATACTTAATCAAGTTTCTTAAAATTATAACAGTAAGAAGAAACTAAAATTATTCAATTTATAAAACCTGTACTTTTTACAATCAATATATTTTCAGTTTGTTAGAACACTAGTAAATACAAAATAAAGCTATTAATTTTTTTAACAAATTGCTGTATTTTAGCAGAAAAATGTAATAAATATAGATGTATTAAAAAAGAGAACTCAATTTCTGTAAAATACCCATAAATGTTATTTGAAATTCTTCAGTGTTAAATATCCTTTTTCACAGTATTTCCTAATAATTTCTGTATACAGTGTGCTATATTTTTCATTATTAGCATATGCTTCACATTACTTTGAATTTATCATGGGTAACGCTACCTCATATTTCATTTCAAAATCACTTTCTAATTTTCATATATTGATCTTGGTCTAGAACCGAAATTGTTTACAGTAAATCTTTTTCTGTTTGTTTGCCTCTACATGCAAAATCATGTCATTCTGCTGACTAAAAATATTTCCTTTTTACTATTACATATATTGTTCTCCCAAAATTTGCTTTTCATGCTTGCTTTATGAGAAACTAATTATTTGAAATCAATTTCCATTAAGAGAGGATTTTTTTGCCACAGACAGTGATGGAAGTCTTTCAAACATGTTCAGTTGCCACCATAAAAGACCATCAACTATTAAAAGTAATCCTAAGAATATTGTCATCATGACATTTCATCTCTCTATCAGTTACAAAATTGCTCGAATTCTTTACAAATTCAATTTTCAGGTTTTTTTTTTTTTTTTAATTGTCGTTAAAATTCGTTGATCAGTTCTTCAAGATCTCATTTCTGATTTTAATTATTTTGGAATTTTAGTTTACATTTTAGCAATTTAGTTTGCAATATGTCAGCCAAACTGAAAGAGCATTGAAATATCTTGTCAAGGAGTATAAAACATGCATTGAAAAATAAAATATAAACAAAATTTTGGCAGATTATTACAACTGGACACTTAGTAATAATTTTGGTTTTGGATCTACAGAAGTTATCTGTGAAGATTCTTCAGTTAATAAATTGGATTTCTTTGAACCCTTCCATACTAACAAAAATTTTTCTTTAGTTAATGACATTATTTTTTCAAGGCTTTCTTATTTCTTATATTAGTATTAACTAAATGTCCTGTTGGCTAAATATTCCTGTAGGCTAACTGTCCGTTCAGCTAAACGTGCGGGTCAGCTAAATGGCCTATCAAATAACCACTGTAGGCTAAGTATCTGCAATTGCCCAGCCTGCTTAGCGGACTTAAAAGCTCTTATCTGGTCCTTATTTTCACAGTTGTTGATCATATGCTTCCAATTACAGAAGTGTTTTAAATGATGAAAATATTCATGCCTTAATAATGTCAAATTAAAAAAAAATGTATAATTTTTGCCAGATAAAATTGAACTTGTAATTTGTTTTCCTAGTTCCTGTACTTATATTTGAGAAAGTTTTATACTCATTATGGAAAATTAAAAATACAAGAAGTTTGACTCCCTTATGACAAAAATTGACTGGATAATTAACTTCAGAATTTGCAATTACTGATGTCATTTTCAACTTGCCTTGAGTGATTGGTTAATTAAGTTAAAATAATTCAAGGAAATAAGTTTAAATTAATTGCAGCTAAAAAAGTGTGCATAATTTTAATATGGCATACATGGATTTCATATGTTGTCCATATCAGATTTTTTTCCATGTAAAGTTATTTTGCTTCTTTGACTGCTAAATTTTTTTCTTTTCCCCTTCTGAAGTTGCAATGTAAGCTTGCTTTTCTGTCTAATTTTAAAATCTATAGTTACTTTAGCATCAAATAAAGTCAAAAATTAGTATTTATCCATAAACCTTTATGCCATATACCTTAAAAGTAGTCTTTTGTCAGATAAATATGAGATAAAATATTATCGCCTTTTTTTTTTTTTTTTTTTGTCTGTATGTATGTGTTGTCAGCTAAACATGCTGTTGGCTAAATGTCTGTGTCATCTAAGTTTCCTGTCGGCTAAGTGTCTGCAACCAAAATTATATATCTCGTTGTTATAGTCAGTTAAATGGGAAAAAGCAAAGGAAAGTATTTGCATCCCCCCCTTTTAGTCTTCCCTTAACTTCCTTTAACCAACTGCCTAATTAGTGCATTTATTTATATATTTAGCATATGTATATATCGTTGGCTTTCTCAAGTTAGGTGCATGCAAAAATGTTCTCATGACTTCTTTTGTCAGGATAATGATTTAAAACATTTTTGCGTATGCCTCAGAAAGCTAACAATATATACATATGCTATAATATATATAAATAAATGTAATAATTAATATTAAGAAAAATTCATTGACTAAATATATTTCCATCTATTTTAACATATATGTTTAGATTAGCTGCTTCTCGCATAGCAATAATAATTATGGCTGTACAAAAGTATACATACAGTAGACTGTAAATTAAATAATTCAGCTTTATCTTGATTAACTCTATGAGATAAATCTTTATGCCAGTTAATTTGGAAAAGCACAGTGGAAAGTAATATTTATAGCATAAGTCAGATTTAAAAATAATCTGCAGTGTGTAAAAAAAGTTTCTGCACAAAAGCCAAAGTTATGAATATATTACCATAATTGTTAATCTTTGCTTCATGCATGCAATAACTATTGAAATATGCTTAATTTGAGTCTTTAAAATGAATTTAAGCAAGTGTCTGTTTTTACAAAATGCAGCAAGTGTTTTAATTGAAATATTTAGGAAATCTTGTGAACTGACATGCGAAAATTGATTCTGTACACAGTATGCAATTGATCTTGGTATCTTCTACAACTGACACTTAACAGTATTTTTTTTATACTGGATCATAACATAAGTGTCACAAAGACATGATAGAAACAAATGTTGAATTGTATCTTGTAACTGATTGTCTTAAAATGGAAGTTCCTAAAAATATTTGTAAGTTGATGATTCTGTTATGAAATGATGAATTATATATAAAACAAAGTGGTGAAATTGCTAATAAATTGAAGTTTAGAGTGCTGTGTATTATTTAAATATATATCGTTTGAAGCTCATGGTACGATATATATTTAAATATATATCGTACCATGAGCTTCAAACTTTTGAGAATAGAGATCAATTCTGAACATCTTTGAAGATTAAGTGCTTGTATAAAAGAAATACCATGAATAAGATAATCCACGAATAAGTGCACCTCAATTCACAGCTGATTTAAAGACTGATTTGAACATTAAAATGACTGCTCAAACAGGGAGAAATGTTATTGAAAAAGAAAGTTACAACAGATGTGCAGACCATAAAAAGGTCTGTCTTCTTATTTTCAGAAGAAGTTTTATAATTCTCTGTAACAGAAAAAAGTGCTACAAGTTTTCAAAGAAGCATGTAAGGAAGCCTTTAGCTTTATTGAAATTACCCTTTTTTAATCATATATCAGAATTTTATTTTCAAAGAATATTTATTTTATTTTCAAAGAAGCATGTAAGGAAGCCTTTAGCTTTATTGAAATTACCCTTTTTTAATCATATATCAGAATTTTATATCCATGGGTCAAATAGTTGAGTTATGTTTTGGAGAAAACCAAATCAACAGATGCTTACTAACAATTTATGTGGACCTGCCGAATACAGTGGCAAAGGCCTCATAGTTTGGGGGTGCATGAGTGTTTCTTGTGTTGGCAGTTTACATTTTATGGAAGAAAATATGGATAAATACACATATCTTGACATTCTAAAGCAAAACGTCTTAACCAATGCAGAAAAAATTTCCCTTGGAACTGCATTTACTTTTCAGCAGGACAACAATCCAAGCATATCTCCAAGATTGACTAAAAAATCAATTGATCAAAAATAAACAATATACTGGCTGTATCATGTTAAAGCCCCAGTCTCTCATTTATAGCCCCAGTCTCTCAATTTAACTCCTGTCAAACATTTATAGTAAGAAATGGTCATGAACTCAAAAGTATGACATTCAGAACAAGGTTGAACTAAAAAGTACCATTCAGGATACATGCAATGACATTTCGCTTGAAATAACAGAATATATATATATCTTGTGAAAGTTATGTCACAAATTATGAGAGAAGTAGTAAAGTCTAAAGGAGGGCGTACTGACCACTTGGTTAACATGAAAAAGATATACAGTCAAAAGTCGTTAATTCGGACACCCATAATCCGGAATGATCTATAATCCGAACCTCAAAGCTAAAAACTTTCTGCGCATGCGCATAGGCGTTTACGCATGCGCGTAAGACCTTTACAGCTGCGAATAATATGTGCGCATGCATAATACGTTACGATGGCGTTTGTATAAAGGACGTTAAGCAAATATCTAATACCTATTTCAGTTAAGTTTGCAGATTGCGTTTGTTCCTTAATCTTCGAATGGATCCAGCTTATTAGTTTGCAGACTGTTAGAGAATTTTATAAAATAAGCTTGAAATTGATATGTCAATAGAATTTCCGATATTATTTAACTAATATGTAACGGATCTAAAGTTGTCGAAGTTTGTGGAATTTGCAAAAAAATCCATATCCTTTATTAATCAATTTGTTTATCTGCTTGGGAGGGAAACGACAGGGGCGCGCAAGAATTGGAAGTTGATCTGTCAGCACTATCCTTATCTTCAGGGCAGATGTTTTTATTTATTTGGCTATAATTTTACTAAATGTATATTTCATCTCGATTACTCGGTCTTTGATTGATTTAATCAAGTTCTCGTCATTATAATTCGCTTCTGATATCAAAGTGACTAGGTTATTGAAAACGAAAAAATTTCGATTGAGAAATTAGTCGGTATTCTCGACACAGCAATTATAGACTTGAACAGCGGAACTTTGTAACTAACAGAAATTTGTGTTTATAGAATTAAAGAGACGTATTATACATGAAAATGGAGCAATAAACAACTTGCATTAAGAAATGTTTAATGAAGTAAACAAATAAATATTTAGCTTTTTCTTTTTGTAAATTTGATACCTTTAGATCATAATGCTCTTTATTTCATAAATTACGGTTTCATATTTTTAATTTTATAATTTCTGCATGCCATCTTACCAAATATGAACTGATGCTCTATAATTTGGAAAAATCAATAATCTGGAATCGCCAAAGTCCCGACGAGTCCGGATTAATGACTTTTGACCGTATCATAAACTATGTAAATATTATATGGAAACTTTTTTTGTTGCTCATTAGTGAAATTTTTTGTTTCTGGTTTAATTACCTTGATATTTCTTTTAATAATAGTTTTAAAGAGTATATACAGTTGTGTCAAACCAATTTTTTAATTTTCATTTTCTTCACAAAGGATTTTATATTGCAAATTAAACTTTTGTACAGTCATTACTGCGTACAGAAACTTTTTTTTTTTTTTTTTCTTTTTTACCAACTTTGTGTACAAGCCCAACTTTAGCATTTTCAGTGCCCTATTCAATCAGTATAATTGACACCCTATAAATTAAACTAATTTAAACAACTCATTGAAAAAATATTTTGCTAAGTTGTTGCTTTTGAAAGTAACTTAGCTGGTGCCCTCATGCTTTGCTTTCTCAAATTTTGAAGGAATTTCTTATTTTTCTTTCCTAGTACATTTGAACATTCCTTAGTACATTATTGAATCTATGTGTGTTTTGACAGATTCATTAACCCTTTGACTGCTGACTGCTCTAAGTTGAAGAGCCTTGAGCCTTTGCATGAGCTGTGTGTGGCCACAGAGAGACTGCTCAAATAAATGAAATTTCATTTTTTTCTCATTATTAAGCATCAAATGAGATTAGACATATGTGATAGGAATAATTTCCGAACATATACATGAAACAGCAGATCTATAGTCTACACCTATTGTTTATGCCGGATGCACATATGTGCCTATAGCAGTTAAAAGGGTTAAATATTACTATAAGTATGTGAAGCTTTTTATTCATACAAGATTGTTATCCATACAAGTTCTTTTAGAGTAAGTGTGAAAAAATTCTGTGCAGTATCTACATATCACATTCAAAGAATAATTCATGTGAACCTACTTATTAAAAATACATTTTTGCTGTAGCAGCTATTTGCCTCAAAAATATGTACATATTTACAATCATTATATGTCTATTATTCCTTTTTACTAATTGAATAACAGAAGTTTTGAATTTTTTTATTTATTTTTTTATATTATATTCATCTAAAAATGGCTACATCAAATCACTGTTTGGAAAAATGGGATGACCTAAAAAAGTTGAAAAACTGTGAATTACTAATTTTGGGAATGGGACTTGATTTGTTTTTATCCCTGAAAAGGGAATGGTGAGTATTTTTTTTTTTTTTTTTTTTTTTCAAAAGATTTGTGAAAAGAGATGAGAATCTGTGAACTAAAAGAGTGTAAACTTCAAAACTATCAAAATTGTGTTTAGTAGTAATCTTATTTATCTTTCTTTTAATTTCTGTGAGAAGTGATAAATTGTTTTAATACATTTCCCTAGAATTCGCAATGCAAGGTTTGATTTCTGAGGTTTGGGAAGTCATAATGTTAATATAAGGGGTTATGCAAAGATTTCTTTAATAATCCCAGATACAATTTTTTTTAACCTAGCTCCCATGCATTTGCTAGTTAAGCAATGGGTCCAGAATTATATCTGAACCCCATTGGTCATTTAATTCTTATGACTGAAAACTGCCTAAAATACATCATGGAAAGGGGGCAGATGTGATATCTGCAATGAATATCCAAGCTTTTATATGGAAGGCAAAGTGTGACTGTTTAACCCATACCATTTTGTGTCATTTATGGTAACCACCGTTCGATACATGGGAGCAAGCTAGCTGAGAAGGGGTATGCTATATATCTGTTAATATTTATAAAATAGTAAGTTTTTCAGTTTCAGTATTTTTGATTTAACATTTTAGTTTAAATATTTTTGCAACAAAAGCTGCACTTAAAAATTTAATTTTGTTTTTTAGGCTAACTGGATCAAATCTCAAGGATTTGGAGGAGCAATGACTTATAAATTGAATTCTGATGACTGGCCTTGTGCATGCAGCAAAATTCCGTTTTTATTGCATCAGATTGTTCATGATGTATTTACATTGTAATATATATATATACAGAAATTTAAGTTATATTCTTTAAAATATGTATTATAAGTAGGTATTTACTGACAGATGTTTTTGTAAAAGAAAAACATTTATTAAATGGTATTTATGATGCAAAGCCTAGTACAAAGCACACTCTTTTGAAGCATTATAATCTTTATTTTTTTATGCATTTTTTTATTAATTTATTTTTACATATCTAATAAATCAAATGTCTGAAGATGAATCGGAAGTTTTTTGTAGAAATTCAAAAGTTTAATCTACCAGAGCTATGTTATTAGTACCAGTTCTAATTTCTTGGTTTACTATGCATATATTATTATTATTTAGAGTAAGGAAATATTTAGATAATTAATTTTGATCCGTGATCATGATTTATGAAAGTGTCATATCTTCAGTAATGATAAAATTTATTTAATATATGAAGATATGTTTATTAGTCAGTAGAAGTCTAATCTGCAAAGCTTGGGACAGAGGTTTCTGTTTTTTCAATTCAGGAAGAAAGAGAATAATAATATTCAGACTAAAATGCAAATAATAATGCATATAGATATATTAACAATTATTATGCATATTGCAATAACTATTATATCATTAAGTATTTTACAGTAAAATGTTTCTATTATCATTTATATATACATACTCGAGGTTTGCCGATTCGCCTCATGCCCCTTTTCGGTTTCAGATTACGGTGTAGCATCCTGTTGCTGTAAAATTCCAACAATTTCTATTTTCAGTATCATAACAATCGTATCGCATTCCATATGATTCTGCTATAAATGCACCAGCTCCATGTTCAGATTTTCACGTTTTGCATTACCGTCAATGCAACGTGTTTGCAACAGTAAATCATGAGTGCTTTTCTTATCTGTAATTGTATTAAAAAGGGCTGAAATTTAAAATATTTTTAATTTATTCACAAAATATTTGGATAAAAAAAGGCAGCACTAAATAATCTCGTGAAATAAAGCTTAGAAAATACAATGTGAATCGTGAACTTGAAAGAAGAGTTGAATGAATCGTCTGCTTTCTTACCTCGATGCAGAAATTAGAGGAGAAAAAACTTTTATCATGATGTCAATAATTGGGTATTTCCATTATGACTCATTATTATTCAGTAGTTATGACATCATTATTCAGTAAGTATTTTTTCTTCGATATTTCGTACTCAATGTTGCGGTTTCCGGAACCTATAAACTGAATGTTTATAATTTCAGAGGCAACGTGAATTTCAGGAGTTGGCGGATTTCAGGTCAGCAGATTTTCGATATTTGACTGTAGTCTAATCTTAAAGCATGGAAATACATTAATTGTGAACTTTTAGGCTGGAAAATTATGAGAATGATACTCTTTTCATAAAAATTATCACAAATATTTAACTAAAATATGTTGATAATCATATTCCCCGGCATTTGTAATCTCACAGAAAGTTTTATGATACCAAATAAAATTCATAAAAAGTAAATGTGGATTTAAAGACTATTGTTAAGTCATCATGTTGACAGGCTTTTGTAAACACATGGGGTTGCACGCAGAAAGTTTTATTTTACCAAATAAAATTCATAAAAACTAAATTTGAAAACTTTGTCTTCAAATCGAAGGATAATACACAAACTGGCAGAGAAATTGTATATGCTCAGACTGCAAGCTGTTTTGAATGTTTACACAGTTCTTACTGATGCTATTGTGAACCCTTTCAAAGTATTTTCTTTTTTAAATGTTTCTTAGTGTAAGCTGTCATTTTCTGCTGTTTTCCAATGTCAGCAACAAAAGCGATGTATTAAAGTTGAGGTGGACCACACAGAGATCAGAAAATCATGTGTGCAGTGCCTGCAAGTCACTATTTTCGAGTTTTCATGACGTGCCAAACAACATAGTCTGACATCGCAGACGCAATAATTCATTCCAATTGACAATGCAAGAGGCGTAACTTCATGCATAGTGTCAAGAGATTTTAGCGTTCTATACCATATCTGTCATCAAAGCCTCCCGATTTCAGGGGGGCTGGCAAACCAATGATCTTGTTTTCCCTCTAATATTGTTCCAAATATAATGAATCTGAGGATGTAAAATACTACTGAAAAATTGAGGAGGCATGGCTAAATCAGTCTGAAGATTTTTTCCATCGGAATAAGACCTCAGAAGCTCTTGAACTCTCGATTAGAGAGACCCTACCTGGCAGGCTCCTCACGTCACGAGGACTATAATTCACTTCCATAACTGTTCTATGCTATCCATGAATTATCTATATTTGTAAGAGCTTTCGTAACTGTAATAAATGTGTTTTGAGTTCAGTTATGCAATAAGTATTACGCAATGTCACAAATGTACTAATCATAATAAGAAATTAGAATCATTTCCCCTGCCAGCTCCGCCACAAAGTCATATCTGTCCAGTCTCTTCTCTTCACATCTATTGTAGTATGCAATAGGCCATGGTGCAAAGTGTAACTTTACTTCATATTCACTGGCATTGTGGCTAATGATGTAAACTTAAGCATGTGGCTCTGTTAGAGTGAAAAAAAGAACTTTCAAATTTAATGTACAATTTTTCTATATAGTATGCAATACCTTTACTTCAAATATATAGCCATTTCTGACATCTTATAGACTCATTTAGTACTTGCTCGTTTATAATGTAGTGTTTGTAGTTTTGCTTGTTAAAACATGGGAACCCTTATAACACATTTTTCTTTTGAAACAGGGTCAACTGGTAAATATATCCTAGTTCTCTAGGTGTTTCCCTCCTTATTCATAACTTACAAAATTTTCATTGTTTAACCCTTTCATGCCGACTGTTTGAGATTTGCAAGAACTAACCGTTCTCCTTTCTCCTAATAAACTTAAAATAAAATAACTACATATAAAATTCTACACCTCATATTATTTTCAAAATCCATAACTGCAACAACTACAACAAAGATCGGATGGTTGCCACTCTTACAGTGAAACTATGAAAAAAAATAAACAACTGAGGCTGGGTTTAACATACTCCCACCTTTTGATTGATGACATACTAATCATCAAAACAAAAATAAAAAAATATTGTCCACCAAATATTAAGGCTAAATAATAAACAAGAAAAAATTAAGTTCTTAATTTCTACTCTAAATAACTCAAGTAGTGTTCAGTAGAAACCTAGATGGAAGTTAAATTTGTCGTCGACTTCTAGTCACACAGTCTTAATGTCCTTTGATAAATCTGAAATGAATTATTCTTTGGTAATTTGAGCTACACGTCTTCACCCTGCATCTCAGTTTAATTTGCCTTATTTGACTCCAAAGATGAAGGTATTTCGAGAGGGAATATTCTCTGGAGTGGTTGAACTAATTCTCCAGACGTAGTTCTGACACGTACTACTCGAATGTTGCCGTCTTTTCGTGGATATAGCTCAATCACTTTTGTTAGAGCACACTCGATGAGAACTATTTTCCCAATTTTTATCTGTTGAAAAATCAGCACTGTAGATGGACATTGCACTAGCAGGCCAAGGTATTCACTTCTCAAATCTCTCTCAAGAGTTCTCATAAATTCTGTAGATGTCTGTCTCTTGTTAAAATCAGCTTTATCAAAGTGATTTAAGTCGGAACTCTAAAGACTGGAATTTCACCTAAAAGCAAGGACTGTGTCAAAGGGGTGAGATCATTAGAGTCCTCTGACACATAAGTAAGTGGTCTGGCATTCACAGTTGCTTTGCATTCGCACAGCACACTTATCAGTTCTTCATAATTCAGACATGACTCGCCTAGTCCTCGACGCAAATGCTTCTTAATCATTTGAACTAGTTGTTCCCAAAAGCCATCCTACCATGGTGCTGTAGGTGGACTGAATTTCCAGTTGATCTTTTTTGTGGCGGCTTATATCAAGGGAGGTGATGGTATTCCAACTAATTGATTTTAAGAGATTATTTGATCCGACAAAATTGCCTCCTTTATCGCTATAAATTATTCGATGGCCTCCCTCTACAGGCAATAAATATTCTAAGACCGAGTAAAAATCCTTGAGTTGAAAGGGGACAAAATCAGTTTCCAAATGAACCGCCCTGAAAACAGCACATGTGAAAAGCAAAATCCAAGCTTTTCTTTTATTCTTTAAAATTAATGGGCCAGCTAAATCAACACCGACAATCTCGAAAACCACGAGCCTCTCTAACTCTGTTTTCTGGTAGAGTAGCAGCCATAGTCTGTAGTCGTTTACCTCCATGTCTCATGCACCTGACACATGCATATAAAGCTTTTCGAATCGTAGCTCTACTTTTCAGGATCCAAAACGTCTCTCTAAGTGTTGACATCAGTACGTGAATTCCTGCATGAGATAGAGAGATGTTTATCAATAATCAATTTCTCCACAATCTTATGATTCTCGGAAGTACCATCGGATAAATAAATTTTCATGGACTTTCCTTTCAGTCAACCTAGACGTGACAGTAAAATGCCTTCGTCATCTTTGAACAACTTATTGACTTCAGCTTCTTAATATCACAGATGAAAAGAATCATGTTGAATAATCTCACAATAGATTTCTCAGCCCTTATCAATTCATAAACATTTAACTCTTCTGATTCTCTTTTTTCTTTCATCTTTCGGGTATTTCCTATGAATCTGTGTATCATTCTAAGTATTTTCTTATACTTTGAAAGATAGCCAAAGAATTGTGAAGACATATCGCTAACATTGCTTAACGAAACTATAACTGCTTTACGTTTTTCAGTATTAATGTCTTCTTTATTATCGATTGGGATAGAACGAGGCCATTCTCTTCCGGCAGTGCCAACCAAGGTGGGCCCTCCCACCATCTTGCTTCAATGAGTTTCTTCAAGAACATCCTCTTGATGGCATATCGGCTGGGTTTTCCGCACTGGTACATGATGCCAATTTCATGATCCAATAGGATTAATTTCTGAAACTCTGTTATTCACAAAAGTGCTCCAAACTTCTACGTTCTTTATCCAGAACAGTGCTGTTGCCGAATCGGTCCAGTATATTCCTTTGAAATTCGACTAAGGTTCTTCTTGACAAATGATGCTAATCGCACCCCAATAAGACACAAGCAGCAATTCAAGTCGTGGTATACTTATTTTTTTTCAAGGGAGCCACTCGTGCTTGGCTTGCACTAGGGTCACTTTGACTTCTTTATTTGACTTCTCAATATACTGCACTTGCATAAGATCCCTGTGA